ACTCTGACCATTTGTTGCCTAGTACCACCTGTAATCACTTGTATGGCGGAACTGTGGGTCAAGAATAAGGAACATGAAAGGGTAAATAGACTTGATACACTTCAATTTCAGGGCATGTTCCAGTTTTTTTGACACTCCCACACAATGGTTTGGAAGAGGAAAACCATCTTCCTCTAGTTGCTAGCTACTGGGCGGGCTCCACCTTTGTCTGGGGAAAGGTGCACTCTGACTCACGAACATGGAAAATGGCATGGACATGGTACCTTGGAAGACGGCGCCAAGCACGTCCATCGGAGCGCCTCCACTCATCGCGCGTTCTCGCGCCACGCGCCGCCACGCGAGTCCACCACATGTGCCCACGCGCGCCCCGCCTGGTGCCGCGGGCGGCGGATATTGCGGCTGCTCAGCACCTGACATGGCGCTGCTGGGGTCTCCGGATCTCGGGACCCAACCAGGAGGGTCGACTGGACTGGAAGACCAACATGCTCACATCGGTCGGGCGTGAACACGGCACGGCATGAAGAGCGGAGCGTCACGATCAGTTAGAAACTGGGGAAGTGTTTCTCATATTCCCCCCAGAGTCGATAGCACAACTCTCACAAGGCCGTTCTGGGATGCAGAATCCTTGAGCTGGTCCTTCTACGATCTACATGCTCTGAAAGTACGAGATTTGCAACGCATCCAATACCAGCACCCTCCACTTCAGCTCCGCCCCTGACATTGAACTCTTCAGGACCTTCAGAAAGGCAAAGGAGTTGAAAAGGGTCTGCTTAAACAAAAACGGATATAATATATATATATATATACATATAGGGTATAGATTCTGAGGTGTTAAAGCATCGACCAATAGCTCCTCCTACCTGGATGTGCAGGATATGCTGGAAGCGCCGCCTGGCAGGATCGCCCAAGAAATCCCGGCGATCATCGGAAGTTGGTGAATGACGTGAGCAACAGCTGTTTCCTGATCCTACAGTAAGGGACTTCAAACCTCAGCTCTAGCCACCCAAGGATCCGCCATCCGCCGGAAAGATGAACAGCAAATCTCCGAAGTGGGATGGAGCAGAAAAAAACACCGTGTGGGCCCCAAAACGGCTCACATTGGGCCGTCAAAACTGGGACAATCCGACTTCTAGAGGTCCCCGTTGTGATTGATCGAAGTCAGAAGCACTGAATCCCCCCGCCAGGTTCTTGGCATCAGGGTCATACAAGATACTCTAGAATCAACCACCGGTTTTTGGGTGACATTCCACCTTGCTTTGCGTGAAAGCCATGTACCCTAATATATACATATGTGTGTGTGTCTATGGATGTACTAAATCTTCAAGAAATGCATCGAACACACATCACATGGTCCATGGATAGCACCTATCAACGACAGTCAGCTTTGACCCGAACAAGCCAGAGATGCAAGGATGCATCATCCAAAGTTTTTGTATACTAAATATATACACTCTTTCAGTGTAGCAGAATCACAGCCCCCCTGGGTCCCCCAATAGACAACTGTTCAAACCTCCCAGCTTTTAACCAGGTCTCACACCTGTGGCTGGGGATGTGGTGGAGGCTGAGCCGGCGGAGCTTGGGAGGCTGCCTCGGTGTCATGAGGAAACAAGTCAGTGATTCTGTGGGTGATGGGTGACATTGATGAGACAACCACTGCATTACATGTCTTTGAACCATTGGCAATCAGTGCTAGACCATGGCAACCCACCAGTAGCAAAGAATTGCAACTCATTTGGTTGGAGCGTGGAGCCAAGTGACATAGAGGTTTCTCTTAGGCTCGGTGGAACACTTGGATTTACGGCTCAGTCAGCCACTCCCTAAAGGCTCACTGGTTGAAGCTCCCAAGTTTGGTCTGGGGACACCCACATATCGATCATATAGCCTACTATAGCCCCCAGAAAACACCAGTCTAGAGTCTAGACGATGCAAATCGTCTAAACTCCCGGGACTTGTCCGGAAACTGGATGCCCCCTGCTGTGGACCCTTTCCTCTACCTTCTGTGGATCTGTTGGATCCAGGCGATCCACCCCAGGGCTCCAGTCGTAGCGAAACGAAACGAAGGTACGACTGGAGGTCTAGGGGCAGTAGCCAACACATACCAGTGGTTCCACTTCAACGTCACGAACCAGTGTTCCACCGAACGGTAGGAGGGCCCCGTCGGTTCCGTCCGTTCAGTGGGATCCGGTGCCAGATCTCGGCGTTCCGAACGGCTCGACGCCGTCCCAGATCCGTTTAGTTGGATCCTCTGGTCTTGGCCCAGATCTGGATCCTCTACGCCAAAGGACTTGTCTCTGCTGCCATCCTTCCAGCTCCCGTGGCTGCGTCCAAGTGGACTGTGCAGTGGCCTCACGCGGTCGGGACCAAACCGCGGTCAGTGCGCACTGCGGTCGGGCAGGGCGGTGGCGGTCAGGACCCATCAAAAACCATGTCCTGGAGATCTCCACCTTCAAATGTCTATAATCCCTAGGGCTCCAGTCGTACATTCAAGAAGGTGGGACTGGGGTGGGTGCCAAGAGGGTCCAAGTACCTCTGAAAAGGTACTTGGAGCCCTAGGGAATAGAATGGCTATACTCAGTTGGGCTGCTTTTTGACAATGAAAATCCAGTCTACGTCGTGTTTTGGGCCATTTTGTTCTTTAGTATGCTTTAGTTATGGAGTCGAGTCATCATGAACAAATAAATCATGTGACCCGACCCCATCTGTTGCCTAAACACCACTGGTGGCTGCCAACAAGGGCCTGGCCATCTGCTACATACAACCTCCAACTTGAATTGATCAATCATGCAGCGAGATCGACCGCGCCAAGCTTGCCAAGCATAGGTCGTTTGGGCTGCAAATGGGAATCATGTAGTTAGGCATGTGCAAAGCCATCTCCAGTCATGCCTCAGTTTAGGGTGGTTGAGCCCGTCTCATGTACCGGTGATAGCTTTATGCAGCTCCGAAGGATCAAGTAAGGGAATGGTCGCGTGGGACGTGTGGGACAAACAGATGGAAGACATCCAATTGATGTTGAAGCTATCCGCCTTGGTGCTAGTTTTGGCAAGATTTGTGCGGGAACTTTCTTGGCATGTTGTTGGCTGCTGTTCCTGTCTGAGACCCATCTCCTACTAGCTCCCCCAAAATGGCTACACAGCAGCTATCAGTGGGGTGTCAGCAGCTATCCCTATGTGCACTAGCCAGCGCTGTTCCCAGCTGGCCTCGTTGTAGTAGTACATCCCTTGTGCGCATTTGTTGACCTGCCATGGCCTGAGTGGTTCGCAGAAAATGCCCTTGTGGCTGACCATAACGAGAAAGAAAGGGAACAAAGCTCTGTGGACAGTGGGCAAGGTAGTGAAGCCCTTAAGCATTACTCCCCTGCAAAGGACCACATGGACCCCCAAAACCACTGGGTTGTCGAGAACAATGGTCTTCCACCGGTCAATTCTCGGGTTCCATGTTAGTTTGCGGGAGAGTAAGCATGTCAATTTCTCCTTTTGAGGGTGACTCTTGCAGGTCCTGGGCTGATACTTCATAGTCTGAGAATGTCTGCCTGGATCTGATCGGCCTGACACAGCGACAACCTTTGGGTCAATTGATTGTGATCACCATTCTCAAACAAGGATTGCATCACCACCCAGCTCCTGACCCTACTCCACTGGTAACGCCTAGGCTCCTGGGCGCATAAAACACCCGTCTGAGCCCCGCACGGCTCCCTGTAGATGATCTCCGACATCACGGGGGCCGGCGGACCACCGGGTGACCACCTCGGCCCCAGTGCGAATGTGGTGGAGATCTGCCAGAAGTCCATGTGGTACCCTGAAGACGGTCTTCGTTATGAATGCAGTCTTCATATGTTTAAAAAACCCACACACCAACAAAAAATAGATACATAAAACTCATGGGTGTAGTACTTGGTCAAAGTGGAACTGAGTAGAACTGTTCAGAAGTCCGTCCCCGAGAAAGAATTGACGACAAGCGCAATCAAGTTATAGCTTGTGGGACGTTCCGGTTGGAAAGTGGGCTCTCTCCTATGGCAAGGCTGAGGAGATCCAAACTGAGAACATGGGAGAACTAAAATGCCAAAGATCTTCAAACAATCCATTTGACGGCAACTATATCTATACATGGCTATCATGGTTTGGAGCCATGACTGTGGGCAAGCTATCCATCCAGTACAAACTGTAGGGCAATATAGGGCAATATTGTTTTAAATGTTTTTTGAGCTAACCATGTACATTTGGATCACCAGCATCCCAATCAGCTGATATCAGCTGCGTGGAGATTGACCGGGTAGGGCTCCGGTTGAAACATCCTCCCGCAATCAAACCGTGACGTATCTCATCGGCACGGTCTTCATACCCCCAAGTCGTGTCGTGGTATGTCCTCATGCTCTTGTCCATGGCAAATGTCCATCCCAGGTGTTGATTTTTCGATGTCCAAGCACCTTCAACAGCCTGAGTACCGAACCTTCCCCTTCGGTGGCCACAAAGAAACTGAGCCGAAAATGCCGCGAGGTGCAACCGCTGACATGTGCTGACAAGATCATAAGAAGTTGGGACTTGGCTGGGAAGGTGAACCATCACAAATCGTTCCTCGGAATGACGGGTGATTTCCTCACCTTAGAATGTGGTGAACCCCAGCAAGGTGATGATGGCCTCTAGACTTCCTCCGTGAAATTGGCCACTCTGCAACTGGCAAACTCATGGGCATTTCTTTTTGGATACGCGCCAATCCCCTTCTGCACCCTTAGATGGACGCCATCTTCATGCACATGTTTTTCGATGTCGGCCAGCGCGGCTAGCGAAGCACATCGTCATCCTCGTTCCAGCCACGCGTTATGTTGGAAGTTGCATGGCAAATGCGGCAAATGAGAGAGGGCAAGGATGGGCAAGGAGGATCCGGACATTTTGCTGATGCGCGCCATATGAGGATTGGCATGTCCGACTGTTGGTCACAAAATGTCACAACCAAAGGCCACAAAAATGGTGGGCAAGATGAACATGCAAAATCAAAATCGCATCACAGGAGGAACCATCTATGATCAAGGATCTCAACATAATATGATGTCTGGCTGGGATGTCAACCCTCTCTATATAGGGAGTGGCATTGAAAAAGCCGTGGATCACCTCACGTAGGGAATTTCCCCTCCACGCGGATCCGCGATTTCGCGGATCCGCGAGACGGGTATAGAGGAACATGTCGATGTCTCTCCATCCTTTCGATGTCGTGTGGCGGAAGATGTCGCGGAACATGTGATCGCAGCGGAAGATGGGAACAACATGGAACAAGCGACCACTTCAGGATGCTTCAGGGCATGAAGGGTCGGAGTGTCAGGTCTGCCATTCTTTGGGCACATAGAGTGTCTCATTGGGTAGGTCAAGCCAGTCCTGGCGCAGCAGGTGGAAGCCTGTGACTTTCCATGTTCCCAAACAGGAGGGGAGCAATGTGGGCAAAGCAAATCTGATGGTTAGTAAAGGCCTTTCTCTAAAATGGTGACAATTGTTTACCGACTGTTGCAGGTACTGTAATGGGTAATGGGACAACCCCAAAAATTTAGAATATTAATGAATATTTATATGTTCACGAGGGGTAGCCTTGCCAAGTGGGAGTATAATTAGGCGTTGGATGGCTTTGGTAATTCCAGGCAAAGGCACCTGCATGGTCAATAAGCAAATCTGTAGAAGAGGACTCTTATATACTCTTATGCATGAAGCTGCTTTTTAAAAATGATCTGCCGAAAAAAACTCTTCTGAAAAAAAGCACTGGAGTCGTTTCATTGCGATCCAAAACCGGGTCGTTTCTTGGAAAACACCTCCGCGCAAGTTGCCCCACCGAAACCGCACGCTGCTCTTGGACACTCCTCATAGCCCTGCCAGTCGTTGCGGTAGTAGACCGCGGGTAGGGCGGGGAGCCGTAGGCTTCGGAGACCTTAGCCACGTCAGGACGCCATGACGTTGGTGCCTGATTCAACTGGGCTGTGCGGCGTTTTGCACAGTTGAAGGACGTTTCTCAAAACCAGCCCTTCAGTCGAGGGGCGCACGGGGTCGGCCTCCACGAAGCGATACCAGGACTCTTGGTTCTTAAGGCCCAAGAGTCTCGAGACCAAACGTGCCTGGAGCCAGGCATGGACATATAGCCATGGATATCTTGGTCCAAGTTTAGTGGTTTCTGGTGAGGTAGGCCCGGTTGAAATGGTTCACTGACGTTTACTGGCACAACTGATGCAAGCCTTGAATCCCCTTGTATATCACACCTAGCTTACTGTTTGCCTGTTTGCCTTACCCTCTCAACGTATACCAGCTCACCTGGTCGGGCTTTTGGGCGAAATGCGGGGTCTCCCAACCGCGCCGCACCCGCCGATTGGATCACAGGTACCATCTTCCTATTTGCTTGTTCCATCCCCTCCTCTATTCATCCACCAAGGCCGTTTTACATGGCGATGCGCACACAGAAAAACTAAGAAAAAAACAAAAGCAAGCACATCCCCTCGAGAGTGCCTGGGCAAAGGGCAAAATCACCCCGAGGAAATCATCCCAGCCCTGCCACTCTTCTGCATACATGGCCTCCAATCCGTCCATCCGAAGCGAAGAGACCATGAGGCATCGAGAGAACAGGAGCTTCGACAGTTTGTTGGATGGGTGGCATAATGACAGTGGTGGCTTTCTTGGTGTTCAGAATCGGCCCGGGATCCGGAAAAACAACAAAACAAACGCACCATGCTGTCAAACTTAAATGTTCATGGCACGCACATGTCTGGAGCACTGGAAGTCTGGAATTTGAAGCATTTCCACACATGTCCACAGCGATTTCAGCACAAAAAGCTCTTGGGAGTTTCAGGTGCGGTATTCAGACGTCAAAGGCCCCACAGAAACAAACAAAACAAAGACACCTTGACCACCATTGACCATTCACCTTTGGATTTCTGGGAGCTCCACTCCTTGAACATCGCCTGGGACATCTCGAACAACACGAGGGTACACCCCTCCCATCCCCTCACCATACCGTAACCACTACTAGTCACTACCGTAACCCTGTGGGTCAATTCGTGGCTTTCCGACTGTTTCAGATCTTTCTGTCTGCGAGGCTGGGAGACCTTCGGTCCGTCCACCCCACGCCAAGCCACCTCCGGATCGCTCGGCACCTCAGGTCGCGGGGTTTGCGTGGCGCGAGGGGTGGCACGACAGGTCTGATGATCGAGAAGGCAACCAAATGGAGCAACAAGGTGGGACTGGGGTGGGTGCCAAGAGGGTCCAAGTATACCCTCGCCCTATGGTAAGATATTTTAAGTGGGTCTGGGGTGGATTGACTCAACGATTCTGCTCATGGATTCACCGCCTAACTGGGGGGGGATCGACTTATGCCATCCAGGCCCCGAGTTCCAAAAGCCCAAATGGCTTGGAGGTACGGGAGGTACTTGGAGAAATTGAGCTCTTTTCCAGGATCTTTGACTTCTGGATCTGCTTCTGGAACTTTCACCGGCCCAACCAGCATGGCCAGGGCGGGACCGATGGACTGACTCAACTCCTCGAAGAGGACAGAAGGGGTAGACAAAGACCCCCAGAACATCCACATCCAGGTTTGAATGCCCATCCCAAACACTCTGGCAATATATGCCCACATTGATCCCCAAAACCACCCCAAGGTTGGCATATATATATATATATATTATATATATATATATCATATATGGCATAATATGGCATACATGGAGTGGTGGGGGTTGGATCCACATACCCTCCCATCTGACAGGGTGATTGGAGGGAGGCACTGAAAAATGTAGGTGCCAGGAGGGTCCAAGTACATTCTGAGAAGGTATGTGGCTCCCTGTGCAGTAATAGATCCTGATATTTCTGCACGGCAGCAAGGATCTTCCACATTGAGCACTCTCAAACTGTCCTGAAGGCGCAGGCGCGTAAGGGCCCAAGAATGGCGATTTCTTGCCATCTGCCACCCACTCATCCCATTCACTGCCTTGGCGCTTGCCGCGCGGAAGGCACTGAAAGGTTTTGTCTCCAGCCCCACCTAACAACTTCGGGAACCATCCGGCCACCCTCAGGATATTGCGAGAAAAAACAGCAACCAAAAGGGTTCTTGGTTTCTTTGACCCGAGCGGCGGCAGCTGAAACCAATCGCTTGCACGCAGCGGCGTGCCTCGCAAGCTCGTGGCCAGCAGTTTTTGTCCCTTTAAAACATGAATTCGAAGGAATTTGATATGGTATGATATGGTCAAACCAACGGCAATCGAGGCAGCTGTTTGGCTGCTCTTGCCTGCAAGTTTCATTCCAAACGCGAGGGATCAAAACTGGAGTTCGCTCTTCACGCTGGGCCCAAAAACTAAATGGGGCTAGAAACCATGGTCCCCTACCTCCAGTGCGCAGCATGAGGTGAACATGCTTGTACGTATACATGTGAGTTGGTTTCACTCAAACCTTGGTCCAAACCACTCAAGACGCGCGATCCTGGAAGTCGGTGTTCGGATACGCAAGTAAGTGAACGCCTATCCCGTCTGGTGAACGCCGCTGTCGGATCGTTCGAGCGGAATTCCACATATCTTGGTCGATAGACGACGAGGCTCTTCTCTTTATACCTGGACCCTACAGTCGTACCTTCGCTTCGAAGGTGGGACTGGGGTGGGTGCCAAGAGTCATACCGAACATGAGGAGGTACGACTGGAGCCCTAGGGTATAAGAGTCATCCATGATAAGAATACAAAACGCCCACAGCGACTTTGTTTGTGTATGTTTGTGTGTGTTCTTCCCTCTCTCGTTCCCAACCCTGACCACCCGTGAGCCTCGTCGAAGGGAAGAACGCGACGATATCTCTTCCGCCAGTTGGGTCTCTTCTCGTAGCCTTGTGGCCGACCGAGAGTAACCCGAGCAGACCGCAGATTGGCAAACAGTGCTTGTGGGGATGCTGCGGATTCCACGCAAACACACACTTAGATGGATGCTCGCAAGAGCTATAAGTTCAGATTGAAGTCCCACTGTAACGATTACATTACCAGTTGCATTGTAGACCTTGGCTTGCAGAACGGATAAATTGCCGGGTCGGAGAAAAGAATTGTTGAACAATCGCGGTAGCTCTTTAACGTGCTTGAAACAATTCTTGCAGGTACGTTCGGAGAGCGTCCTCTCCGAATATCACATCCGATCAGCAGTGTCTTTGTTAGGCAGTGACTGCTGAAGGGATCACTGCCCTCCTGCTGGTGCAAATATTAATAGGAACAGTGAAGAACCTTAGAGACAGGTAGTGACACACTCTGACATTGGTTTTCAGTTAACTCAATTGCCACGATGGGAAGGAAGGTGAGGGAACGGAAAGGCGCATGAGTCCGCAGAAAAGTATTGTTTAACACAAGTTTTATGCAAGTGGTAGCGGCGTTCAGCAGCTGCAGTGCAGTGGGAAACCGGTTTATGGGGAAGGATCACATGAAGAACCATGAATCAAACCAAAAGAGTGGACAGCGTGTGCAAAAGTTCATTGAGCAGGTACGTCCAGAAAGCGTCCTTTCTGGATTTCACGGCCGGACTATCACTGTCTTCGTTGGGCAGTGAGTGATAGCGGTCCACTGCCCCCCTGCAGATCTTGAAGGAACCCTTAGAAACAGGGTGTGACACACACAAGAAGCCGAACTCGGCGCAGTTGCAGAACAGCGAAGAAAGCGGGCTTTTTTCAAAAACCGCCTGCACGCTTGCAGGTCATGCCCTTTTTGGGCATAGAGGTGGACCAGTGCTTCTGCCGCAGCCTGAGCTCTGGTGGATCTGCAGTGAGGAAAGGTAAGGTGAACTCATGGCATGAGATGCAATGCAGAGTGGTGTAAAACATGTGGAAGCTGATCAAATGGCTGCGGGTTAAAAAGTTGGGAAATGCGGTAAACAGCGTCATGCCAATGCAAGACCGAATGAGTCAGGTAATCACAAGGGAATCCATCGTTTATAGCCCGGCGGCTCGAAAATCCGTTAATTCAGTGATAGAAATGAACGAGCGGGGAAACAGTTATAAATATGAAGGACCAGTGAATTCCGGAATGGTTTCGGCGCCTCCTTTCGGAGGGTCACACCCAGCACCCAAGTGGGAAGACTGAGCGGCTCACACTCTGACATTGGTTTTCAGTTAACTCAATTGCCACGATGGGAAGGAAGGTGAGGGAACGGAAAGGCGCATGAGTCCGCGGATAAGTATTGTTTAACACAAGTTTTACGCAAGTGGTAGCGGCGTTCAGCAGCTGCAGTGCAGTGGGAAACCGGTTTATGGGGAAGGATCACATGAAGAACCATGAATCAAACCAAAAGAGTGGACAGCGTGTGCAAAAGTTCATTGAGCAGGTACGTCCAGAAAGCGTCCTTTCTGGATTTCACGACCGGACTATCACTGTCTTCGTTGGGCAGTGAGTGATAGCGGTCCACTGCCCCCCTGCAGATCTTGAAGGAACCCTTAGAAACAGGGTGTGACACACACACACATCACACACACTCTGTGCATGGATTGAGCTTAAAGTGCGCGTTTCGGCCTTGAAGATGTCCGGAACATCCGGAACCTCCTATAGGTCCACTCCCTGTCAGTAGTGGCGACACCGACAAACCCATTGGGAATGCCATTGTTTTGGCAGCATGGTCGAAATCCTTGGCTTAGCCTCTGGCCCCATACGGAAGTTCAGAACCTGAAGATGGACCTGTGGAAGACTAGTTTCCTCTACAGCCCAGTGGTTTTCAGGTTCCATGTTCATCTTCAAGGGTGTACTGCTGGTGATTGATAGCCGTGTGCAAAGGGCTCAATCGCCCTGGGCGATGGGGCGAGTTCTAGGGGCCCCAAGCTCTTCAGTAGGAACTAGACCCTCACCCTCACCAAAACACAAACACGTTTTCAGAAGGTAATACAGTATAAGTTGGAGTCTCAGCCTTTTGGATGTTTGGATGGAACAAAGGGTCTGATGATGCCCTGATCCAATCTGGGGCCGAGAGGTCAAAACGATTTTGCCCCTCACCCTTTTGAAATCTTTTGAACTTTCATCCTCATAACCCCACCCTCCCCACTTGGGAAGACTGAGTAAAAAGGACTCTCAGGTTCATTTCTCAACGACCACCGTACCCCAAATTACACCCAAAACCCCTTGACTCAAAGGGCTCCTCTGTTGCTTCGCGGCGGAGTCACTAGACGAGCCACTGGAGCCACCAGCGGCTTTGTCGGAGTCCTGGAAACTTGCGGAAGAAATGGACCAAAACAGGTCAGTTTGGGCCCTGCAGGTCACCACGGACTCCAAGTTTTACTGGGTCTTTGGACCTGTAGGAAGCCTCTTGGGACTGGCATCCTTACCGATGCCAGGGGGGGTGTTGGTCAGTATAGGATGTAGGTAGATATTCCAGGTCACATCTTACCATGTAGGTGTCTGGGTAAGATGTGACCTATGTGGCCATCCTGGGTGTTTGGGTGTTGGTTAGACTCTATAAGGCGGGTGCTTTGTACACCAATCTTGCACGACCTACTGAAGTGAGATGTTTAAATAACATTGACACTACCCTGCAATCCAAGGGTTGCACTGGTTGGGATCACAAAATGTGTTCTCTTCACTTCCATCATAGTGGCCGGTAAAGAATCCTGAAGAGACAGGACAACGTCCAATCCATGTTCTACCCAAGGGTTTACAATGTCTAGTCTACGCATCTGTTCAACTCTGGAAGTGATTCGGATTTGGCCAGCTTCATTCCGGTATGCCAAATGCATATTTATCAGGCTGTTATAGGCTGTTCAGTTGTTCAATGTTGTTCAGGTGCATTCCAAGAACCTAACTCGCATCGCTTTGCCAAACTGTTCTCGTCCCTCTCTAGGTTGCAGTTCTTCTTCAGTTGGCTTGCTCCCTTCATGTTTCCTGGTGTCTGGATTGCTCCTGCCCTCTGACAACTGCGGCACCTTTTTCCACATGTGCAATGTGCAATCTTGCAGTTCCTGCTCCACTCGCGCGTCCGTCTGACACACATATCAACAGGCGGCTCGAGCTCTCAATAGGCGGCCACCATGGATGGGCTGCGATCGGCTCGGAAGAAGGGGTTCTTCACCTGGAGGCTCGGCAGTTGATGCAAACTGTGGCCGATCCAAACAAAGGTGGAGTAACGAGCATGCACCATCCTATGACACGAATTTCGCACATGACAAAGAACAGGCTCTATCTCTCACAGCAAGAAAAAACAGTACAAGAAATAATGACATTGTAGCTGGATGGTGGCACTATATAATTACATATGCATGTACAGTATGCAGTCTACAATGCATCCTTTGGCGGAAAGATATGTTTGCTGCAGGGGCTCTGCGAGTCAATTCCCAACTGGAGCAAAACTGGGATTTTGATTCCTATCACACGTGGATGTGTGGCAGGTTTCCTCGTGAGCATTCGTGAGCCATTTGCATGAAAAAAATGGACGGCTTGAAGGGTGCAAGGCTTCAGGCAAAACCGTTCAAAAAACCTGCAGCAAGAATGGTAAGGCATGACATGACACACAAATTTCCCGGAAATGTTGCCTGATGAAAAGGCCAACCCCAGTGCTCCGTAAAGGTAAAGCACCTGCAAAATCTCGCCGTTGGATCAAAATAAGTGTGCGACTGGGCCGCCCATGCCCCATGCCTATCCCAATCCTTCTGCCCAATGGCGGGATTCGGATTCTTCATAGGTCCAGGAGGATCAGGCGATGGTGTCCGTTCCTTCTTGTTCTTAATCATGCCCGGTCCTGGCGCCCCGGGCCTTGTTGTCATGAGATGGCGGTGTTCAAAAGGAGCGACATCGGAAAAGGGCGCTGAACAGTTCTGAGTTGGGGATATGGTGTTGAACGCCACCACTCGGCTTTGCCTGGCTCAGCCACAACTGAGCTGATCTTCCGCACCCCCGCGCGTTGGGGATCCGGATCGAAGGACCGGTGGTTCCTATAACCCGTCGGCACCAATAGAAAGACCTCTCTACAAACCCGTCTAAAAGCCATCTATCTCTGGCATCTCTTAGCAAAGCTAGGTGGGAGGAATGATCAAACGTAGTACTGTACAGTGGTTTCAGAGTAGATGGCACAATCCCCCAAGTTCAGTGGTTTTTATGGACCCCCATTTAAAGGATGTCTTGGAATGCCAGTGCCATTCAACCTCTGAATCGTACTGTACCGGCCACCCACCGAACCGCGGTTCTTCGAGAAAACGCGACCCGACCCGGTCAAACGCGACGCATTTGAAGCTCCTCCGGAGAATTCGCTCGCGCGCTCTTCGCGCCGTCGCTCACGGGGATAGGAGCGGCTCCTGCGAGGACATCGTTCGGCTCGCTGAAACATGTTGTAACGGTGGTAGGTTCGCTAGTAGGTTGGGGCCATTGCTCTGGAGGGAAAATAGATGAAAATAGACCAACACATACCAACACCCATTGTTAGGAGGTCCCATGACTGGATGATGATGCTCATGGTGACCAGGGCCTTTCTCGAAAAGACAGTTGCTGCTAATTGGACACGCCCTATAGTTGCAAGAGTCGCTGCAAAACGTCTCCCAGTACACTAGCAAGGAAATTGTGAGAGGTTTGAGCAAATCCACCTCATGGTTTTCCTTTTTTCCAAGGAACACATGGAAGTGCAACCTCAACCCCCCGCTTGTAGAGGAAGTCGAAGGGTTTGCACATGTTTGCAGGTATGTTATGTTTGCAAAAACAGCTCTGGTGTCACGCGTCAGCACATAAAACTGCAAGCTCGAACTCTATACTACAGACTAATGACTCACGGCACTAGAGGTCGTCATGGTCTATGCTCGTGTGGTTTGGGCGGGCTGAAAATGAAGCAACAAAAACACCTAGAGAAAGCACTTGAGAACCAGAACCAGCATGGAGCTGTTCAGTTTCCACTTGCTTTTTTGCTTCCAACTCAGCATGCTGTTTCTTTTCCCCACCGCAGAGCTTTCGCTCGCTCCTGGACCTGCGCCCGCCCATGTCGCGCAGGAGTCGCCGCGGAGAGGGGCTCTTGGGGTCGTTGCGCGAGGGGAAGTTGGCGCGTGGAGCTTCACCTGGAAGGCCAGCGAAAGCGGCGTCACATCTGGGGTGGGCTAAAGAACTGCAACCCCCAATCCTTGGTGAAGTAGAAACTGATGAAACTCCTGTTTCATCCATTTGTTCAATTGTAAGGATTCTTTTGAAGGATTCTTTTAGGGGATTCTCTCTGTGGGTGCTTGCTTGTTGCAAATGTCCAGCCCTGTTGACCCATGCAATGCGATCAGTCAAGTTCTAAGTTAGCTTCGGACATGTGTCCATCCATCTTCACCCGTTCCGGCCTGGTGGACTCCTCTTGCGCCTGGGGGGAGGGCTAGGCCGCCGCCGCGCGTCCGGCGAGCGGCCCCCGCGCATGGGGCTGCGCGCGCGGTTGCGGCCATACAGACGTGGAGGGCTTCGGCTACGGGGCCTCCGCGGTGGCCCGCCGGAGTTGGTAATGGCCATCGGACCATCATTGCCTCAGAGGACCGCACCAACGCGGACATGGGCATTCAGCGTGGCTGGGAATACGCGTATGTAAGATGAAGTGGATACACATGCAGCATTTAGTGCAGTCTTGTCCAGGACAATCGACAAATCCTTGAGCGGGCTCAAAAAAAGGATTCTCGACTAGCCATAGCCAAAATGTCAAAATGTCATAGTATGTGTGCTTCTCCTCTAGATCCTCTACCCTGGTAGGGAGGCAAAGTTTGAAGCAGCAGCCCGAATGCACGTCCCCATGCACCTCAAATCCAATCCTTCATAAAAACGACTAAAAACTCTTGTTCGAACACTTCTGCAACAATCCATGAAACAATCCATTCCCAGCTCCCACCCATACAAAAAAACACAGCCGCTAGCCCACCAAAAGGGCTTGGCCTAGCCACGCCAGCTTCCTTCGCCGCGGAAGGCACCCTTCCCTTCCGCTCCGCTTCGGTTCCAAGAGACCGCCCTTGGGGCCACCGGCAGGTCCCACGCCCACGGGGAAGCCATCCACAAAGACTTGTCCCGCCTTCAAGGCCACATAGGCCCGGTCCGCGGCCTCCTGTGTTCCTCAGGTCGGGTGAGACGGTGAGGCACATGTGTGTGGCCAGAAAACGTGTGTGCATGTTTAAGGCCGGTCCTTGGGATGGTGGATGGGGTGGAGGGGTGGAGGGCCGGTGTGATTAGGGCTTTCAAGGATTTTGCCACAGCTCCACGCAGGGTTGTCCAAATTCAGTGACTGTGGTTGACTGGGTAGCTCTGTCCAAATGGTGACGGCCAATGTGGCAAAAATAAACAAACAACACAATATACTGTAACAAAAAAACAATCCTTTGCAATTCATAGTGGGATAATTCATGGCACAAATTTGCTTGACAAGTGCATTTGCAGCGCGTTTTTGTAAAAAAAACTGAATCCCTTATATCCCTACACCCGATTCTCCAAGTCAGCATCCCAAATCTTTCCTCAGACTCTACGGAGCTGCTTGCACATCTAATTTACTCAGCTTCCATCTGTCCGAAACACCCAAAACCCTCTCACCACAACGCGCACTCGGCACTCAGCACCCGGCTCGGCACCCCGCGGTCTGGTCCCGCCGGGACTCCGAAGCGGACATTGACAAAGTCCTCTCCCGGGATGCCGCTGTACGGTGGCTTGTGGCAGTGAACCACCTGCCCACCGACGCGACGTGTGGCGGAGGTGATAGGCGGAGGTGGAGGTGGATGGACGGATGGAAGAAGGTGGGACCGAGAAGGCGGAGAAAGAAGACCCAGTGTGGTTCAAATCAGGAAGAGTGGGCGCGTCGACTTGCACAAGATGTGCATCAATAATATTCATAATGATCCAAAGTCTACTTTCAAGAACAAAATAGTAAGCAGTGCAAGTGCAAGTTCTCTGGCTCTTGTGGTCATCTTCGTGCCATGTTCGATCCACATCAACAACAGTCCACTCAAGGACCGTCAAGGACCGCCCGTCCGCCACCCTGTTCGGCCCAAGAGACCTCCCCAAACTGCGCCATAGCCCTTGACATGCCCACTCGGCTGTGCTGGGGCATGATGCCCGTAGTGATCCGCACCAACGCCGACATCGGGCGCCGATCGAGGCCCCACACCCGGGGGAAGGGTGAAAGATCTGGAGTGACCCTCCTTTGGTCACACGTGTTTTTTGGAGCTCCGGAGGAGCTTGAGAGGGACGCAGCAGGGAATGCTGTAGCAGTTACTACTGCA